GCCACTGTTTTAAAGCCAGGGGTCTTATAGATAATAATATTGCTCTAAGCGTTGTTGCAAGCTTGAGTTGGTTGTCACTCACCTGGCTTCAAAATGCTCCGTTTCAATCCACTTTCCTCCTGCACATCTCTTAGCCCTGTTGTCCCAGCTTCGTGGCAGCCGCCATGGCTGCCACCCCCTGCCGCGACTCACAAAGGGTTCCCTCTGACCTCCGAGGAACTTGCCTGTTCCTCTTGGTCATCCAAGGCACCCCTCCTTTTTCCCCGTCCCTGCAGGATGGTTCCGGTCCAAAGACCCATCGGCGGCAGTTCGGCAGCCGGGGTTTTTGCAGCGCTCATCAGAGCCCACTATTTCCCTGACTGTCTCGCCATGACACCAACCGGAAGTCTCCCCCTCCACTCTTTGGATCACCCTGCAGGGGGGTGGGCTCTGCCTTTGCAGAAATGGGGCAGGCGGTTTGTATGGAGGATTGGCAGGGGGCGATGTGCGGCCCTCGGGGGATGGATAGTGGGGCAAGAGAAGGCTCCGAGGTTCACTTGGGCAGTCAAGCTAAATGGCGGAGGGAAACTCAAAGCATTGGGGGCTTCAGAAGGGCAGAATGTGCTTCAGAATGTGCAGGTCCTGGCTCTAAAAGTGAGTGACGTACATGACATCAAGTTGGCCATGCCCACCCAGTCACATGACCACCAAGCCACGCCCACAGAACTGGTAGCAAAAATTTTTAGATTTCACCACTGGAAAAATGCCATTCATTTTAAGTTGTACCTGAATTTCTTAATTCAGGTACAACTTAAAGTTCAGGTCCTTTGAAGAACAGGTTGACACCCGCCCACCTCTTCTTTGTAACAGCCCCTTAGATATCAGAAGACTGCTATCATGTCATCCCAGTCCTTCTCTTTGTAAGATTAGACATATCCAGTTCCTGAAACTGTTCATTGTATGTTTTAACCTCCAACCTCCTAATCATCTTTGTTGTTCTTCTATGCGCTCTTTCTAGAGTTTCAACGTCTTTTTTTGTATCATGGTGACCAAAACTGGATGCAGTATTTCAATGTACTAGGTACCTTTATTCTATACCTGTGCATTTGGTTTTTCTTGCCTAAGTGTAAAATCTTAACTTTTCTCACAATTGAATTGCATTTTATTGGATAGGGCCCAGTGTCTGTCATGGTCCTTCTGGATCTTGAACCTATCTTCTAAAGTGTTGGCTATTCCCCCTCCCCTGCTTTGTGTCATCTGCAAAATTGATGAGTTCCTCTTCTATCCCCTCATCTTAACCATTTATGAAGATGTTGAAGAGTACTGGGCCTAAGACATCATTGCCTTTCAGGAAACAATTGCTCTTTACCAGACAAGCAATTGCTTGTAGAATATTGTTGTGAATAGGAAGCTTCTGCAGCAAAGATACACTATGTGTCGATGCTTGATGCAAATTTGAGATATTCAGTTTTATGATATGATTTTTAATTTTTATTGTAACTGTTTTGTGGAATTCCTTGCAAATTCCAAAAGAGTCAATTTTAGCTGGATTCACACACTCTCACTTTAAAGACTATTTTCCTAAGGTATGGAAATCCATCCATACATTCTCACAGTCCTTTTTGGTATAAATATTATTAAAAGTTTTGAAAAGAAGATAACAATGAACAAAAATGAATATAAACTAATGAAAGAAAAGGAAAAAAAGAGGAAGAAGGGAAAAGACAAAAATGCAAAAATAGAACAAAAAAACTTCTAATATCCTTTCTAGCAAATACAAGAATGATTACAAAATTATCTCTTACTCTATGGTTAAGGCACTCACGCTGTCCAGGATTCTCATATTAGGCTCAGTTGTCACAGAGTCTTGCAATATCACATTTCTCTATGCCAGCAAATGTGTATTTGCGATGGATATGTTATGGTTTCTTAATTGTACTGTATGTAATGGTTGTAATTTGGTTGAGCTTTTTTTATTTTTGTACATTGTTGACAGATGCTCAGAGTTGTATTATATAAAATAGGAAACCATATATGTATTTTAAATGAATAAATACACAAGTACATCTGTACATTGAGAATCTCCATAGACAGTCTTCCAATATTTGAGGGGCTGTCACAGGGAAGAAAGGTCAATTTATTCTCCAAAGCAAGTGAGGACAGGACAGGAAGCAATGATTGGACGCTCATCAGAAGGAGGTCCAACCTAAATTCCTAAGGGGGAATTTCCTGAGAGTGAGAATAATCAAACAATTGTTTCTGTAGGTTTTTCTAACAATTCCCTTGATAACTGATCAGTACACATTATTTGGTAAAAACAGAGCTGAAGATATAGGCAAAGACCCAATATAAAGTTATAAAAAAAGCATTCTCCTGCTGTCTGGCATTTTCCTATCTACTAAAATAGGGTAGGTAGAATTTTATGAAACTGGACTTGTGTTGTGTGGTGCATTTAAGCTTTTATCCTGGTCTTAACCAAATGAGAAATTGAATAGGTTCCTGACCAACCTAGCTGACAACTTTGTTGTCCAAAAGGTAGAGGAGGGAACTAGAGGGACAGCCATACTGGACTTAATTCTTACAAACAGAGAAGAAATGATAGAGGGAGTTGAAACTGCAGGAACCTTGGGTGAGGGTGACCATGTTATACTAGAATTTAACATAATACAAACACAAGCAATAGAACATAATACCACAGACCTAGATTTTAAAAGGGCTGATTTTAACAAACTCAGAGAAAACTTGGGAAAGATTCCTTGGATGAAAATCCAAAAGGGGAAAACAACTCAAGAAGCTTGGGAAACTCTGGACTTCTGGTTTGGCGTTGCGGTGAGACAGTCGGGGAATTAGCGGGCTCCAATGAGCTCCGCGAAAACCCCGGCTGACGAACTGCTGCCGATGGGTCTGCGGACCAGAACCGTCCTATAGGGACAGGGAAGAAAGAGAGACACCTCGGACGACCAAGAGGAACAGGCAAGTTCCTCAAAGGTCGGAGGGAACTCTCTGTGACTCGGCAGTGGGGGATGGCAGCCATGGCGGCTGCCATGAAGCTGGGACAACCGGACTACGTATAGAGCTGGAGAGAGAGGAACGGAATGGAGTTATTTGAAGCCGGGTGAGTGACAGCCAACCCAGGCATGAAATAACAACAAGGGAAACATCTTATAACTATAAGACACCTAAAGATAAATAGTGGCTAAGGAGCGTGAGGGCAAAGAAGATTTTGAAACGTAACTTTAAAGAGACAAAAACCCGGAGACATAATAGCAGTGTTCCAATATCTCAGGGGCTGCCACAAAGAAGAGGGAGTCAAGCTATTCTCCAAAGCACCTGAGGGTAGGACAAGGAGCAATGGGTGGAAACTAATCAAGGAGAGAAGCAACTTAGAACTAAGGAGAAATTTCCTGACGATTAGAACAATTAATCAGTGGAACAACTTGTCTCCAGAAGTTGTGAATGCTCCAACACTGGAAGTTTTAAAGAAGATGTTGGATAACCATTTGTCTGAAGTGGTGTAGGGTTTCCTGCCTAAGCAGGGGGTTGGACTAGAAGACCTCCAAGGTCCTTTCCAACTCTATTATTCTATTCTATATTTGGAAAAGTTGCTTAACTCATTCTTTGCATCGGCCTTCATACAAAAAGAAACTATAGCCCAACCTACTAAAAACAACTGTAAAAGACAGACTAGAAATAAAAGTTAAAATAAGCAAAAAAAAATGGTAAGAGAACACCTGCCTGATCTTGATGAATACAAATCACTGGGACCTGATGGATTACATCCCAGAGTTCTAAAGGAGCTGGCAGATGCCATCTAAGAACCACTCTACCACATCTTTCAAAAATCCTGGAGCACTGGGGAACTACCACAGGACTGGAAAAAAACTGATGTTCCTATCTTCAAAAAAGGAAAAATAACAGACCCAGAAAACTACAGACCAGCCTAATATCAATACCTGGGAAGATACTGGAAAAGATAATAAAAAAATAGATCTGCCAACATCTAGAAATGAGTAAAGTAATAACTAGAAGTCAGCATGGGTTTGTTAAAAACAGATCATCCCAAACCCAAACCAATCTTCAACATAGTAACTGAATTAGTAGACCAGCAAAATACTGTGGACATAATATACTTAGAATTCAGCTAGACATTCAACAAAGTAGACTACAACCTACTTCTTGGTAAGCTAGAAAAAAGTAGGATATCTTCACCATCAGATGGATTAGTAACTGGCTGACAAACTGTACTCAACAAGTAGTCTTTAATGGTACTACATCTACATGGAGGGAAGTAAGCAGTGGGCTACCACAAGGTTCTGTCTTAGGCCCAGTGCTCTTCAATATCTTAATAAACGACTTAGATGAGGGAATAGAAGGGGAACTTACCAAATTTGCAGATGATGCTAAGCTGTCTGGAATAGCCAACACTCTAGATATGGGGTGTCAAATTCAAGGCCTGGGGCCTGGATCCGGCCTGCAGGGTGGTTAGATCTGGCCCACGGTGCCTCTGCACAGCCCTCCTGAGCTCCATTTTTGGCTGCGACGGCCTTCTCCAGCCCTCTGCCAGTGAAAACGGAGCTTGCAGCAGGCCACGCACACACCCCAAGCTCCGTTTTTGCTGGCAGAAAGCTGCAGGAGGCCATCGCAGCTGAAAATGGAGCCTCAAGTGACATTGAGTTGGCCATGCCCACCCCAGCCACACCACACACCCCAAGGTCAAACACAATCCTGATGTGGCCCTCAATGAAATTGAGTTTGAGACCCCTGTTCTAGATGATAGGCTCAAGATCCAGATGTGTACACTCTGTGTAAACAATGACCGTCAGTCATACTTTGCCTACATTAAGATCAAGATTTGTGAAACCACTGAAACCTTGGAAGACACTGATGTTCTTGCCAAGCAATGTGGAAGAACATTCACTATCCAACGAGTCAGAAATTTGCAACTCCAAGCAACCAAACTTGATAGGCAAACTATTTTTCAGAATATCTTACAGAAATTAAATGAATGAAAGAAGCAGACATTATTCATAAGACATTTATTGAACAATCATTTGCAAGAAAAAAATGAGAAGATTGTATTCTCTTATAAAGCAAATTAAGGACACTACATAGAGAATAAAATTGAATTCTGGTGGTAAAGAATTATAAATCTCATAGGAAACTGAATTTTCCCAATTTTTGGCAAATCAAACAAAAAACAGATAAGACACAAGAAAAGGAAATGATGCATTATCATGCATGGTGTTCATTCACTCACTGTATTTGCAATGGAAAATCATCATTAGTCAGATTTAGAATACAGAAAAATCTCCTAACCGTTTGGCAGGCATGTCATAATATTCTTTAAATCTGAAGCATTGGGGCATCAACTCCTTGGATAGGTAAATGAACCATTAAATCCAATGCCCTGATTTGGCTAAACAGTATAATATCTAACACATGCAAGAGATGTCCTGTATACTGTTGTTCCTTAGCCATTACTATCTCCTGCTCTATAGGACTTGCATGCAAAGAGGAGGGAAGCTCCTTGCTACACTACTTAAACTCATACTACAGGGTGCTGAATTGTGAACCTAAAATGGTCTGACAGAAAAAATGGATGTACAATCCTAAAGTGGCATTGCAGGAGAATGATAATAAAGTCTTTGTTATTCTTGAATCCAATTTAATCCCTTCTCCAGCACTTCAAACTTCAGGTGTTAAAAGTTAATTTCTGCCCTACTCTTCAGCTTGTTGAATCCCACTATCTTCACCTGAAACTGGCAGCATATTAATTTATTTAGAGTTGGTGGCATCATTAGGTCCAGTTATTGCTTCTAGAGTATGCTCATGACAAGCTCAGGCTTTTACCATGCTCCTGAGACAAACTACATAATCAAATAAAAGAACTGTCCTCACTTTTCCTTTACAGTGTTGAAGAAAGCTTGGAGAAATTATTACGGTGTTGTCCATGCCTCAATAATTGGCACCTTTATTTATGTATGCATGACAAGTAGATGCTAAAAGCACTGCCAACGGAACCCCCCCCCCGCCGCCATACGTTATCTAGCAATAGAGTGTGCATACAGCAGGACTGTGACACTATCCAGGAATAAGAGTGGGGTTAAACTAGACAGGAGTTATACCACTGGCTGATATTGCTAAGCCTTCAGCTCCTATTATTAGCCTATCCTAAAACCCTGAAAAACTAAACTGTACTACTGTTCAGAATCACTGTCCATACAGTAAATGAGCTGGATCATTGACAATTCTTGATCTACGGTTGTCAAGGAATGGCAGGAGCCCCAAGCCTACCCATGGAACTTCAGAGGTTACATTCACTGGGAATGTTGAATAGAGAAAGGTTACTGGGTTCCAACAGGAGTGACTCTCAAAATATGAGAAAAAGTAACACGAACTTTCATTAATTCCCCTTCTTATACTTGCCAGCTCTCAACTTAATGGAAAGAAGCGAGGGTATGTGTGAGCCAGAGATGCCACCAGTGCCTCTCTCTCTGAGTCACAGTATCTAATGCAGAAGTCAGCAAAACCGCTGTCTGAATTTTAGATTAGTCTCCGCCTGGGTAGTGAAGTCTTGTAAAGAGACTTGCCCCTGGCCTCAATATAGAAGATTCGCATTTCTTTGCCATCGATCTCAAAGTAGGCAAAGCCTCCTTGGGAAGAGGGCTGCCCATAGAAGAAGCGTAGGTAACCATTTGGGACTTTGTAGAGGTGTTGCTTGGAGTCATCCATGAAGTTTCCTGCTCCGCTTAGCACATGGCCTATGCCACCTTTGTCCTGTAGGTACTATTCAATGGAGAAAGAAGAAGAAACAATAGATTTAGATCAGGACCGCATCACACCATTTGCGGACATCTCTGTCCATTATGCCGTAATTGCACATTAACATTCCTATGGAGAAACATTAATTAGGTTTCTATTCAGAATACAGAATAACAGACTTAGAAGGGACCTTGGGGATCTTCTAGTCTAACTACCTGTCCAAGCACCCAGATTGAACAAATAGCTGTCCAGTCTCTTCTTTAAAACCTCTAGTAATGGAGCACCCACAACTTTTGGAGGCAAGCTGGTCCACTGGTTAATTGCTTGACGTGTAGCTCAGTCTGGGACTTGCAGAACAACCATGGCAAGCTCATTGTGATAATCACAGCAATGGAAAAAATATTAGATGCTTCAGCCAAACTAAGCCTGGAGAACAATTGCTGCATTTAATGCTCAGAATATACTAGATGACACAGGCAATGCTGTGCACATGGCCCTTTTAGCACATGGCTGTGCTAAAAGGGAAGCGAACAAAAGAGAGTGGATTTGGGGATAGAGCATTTAATCTTAGGAAACACACACAGGGAAGCTAAGCTCATTCAAGAAAAGCTTTCATGAACTTTCAAGAAACCCAAAGAGCTGGCTAGAGAGAAGGCAAGAATAGGCTTAACTTAAGGAGTTCAGTATAAACACAACAGGAACAAAGGTAAGTCAAGGCAAAAGAACACTAACTATATAGGTTCCTCTCACTCAAGCCACAATGAAAGCAGAATGGTTATGCTTGAGATGGTTGTAAGAAAGAAATTGTAAAAAAGCAATAAATTTCACTGCAGACTGGAAAGCAGATCAAAGAAAATGCAAATATGCAAGAAGCCTATGAAGAACTTATTTTACATTTATTGCCATAAAGCATTTACAATCTTGGCGATCTCCAGCAATTATAAAAGAGCCTATTGTCCTTCCCATTTTACAGGTTAAAAATAAGGACTGACAGGCAAGTTTCCTGATAGACCTGGGGCTCAGGCTCAGACCTTCTCTCTTTCATCAGTTGGGTTCCCATTCCAGTAGCCTTCCAAATGTTCTGTGCTACAGCCACAACCACCTCAGCCAAAATGGTCAATGGGATAGTGGAAGTTGTAGATCAGAAACATTTAGAGGGTCAGAGGTTCCCTCCCTACAGAGGTCAGCAGAACTCAGTGATGAGGTTTCTTCTCTCACCTGCAGGTTGTGATCATGGCCACACAGGTAGGCAGTGGCCTTGTGTTTCAATAGCAGTGGCTGAAGCTGCTTGACCAAGCATTCAGTGGGGCCGTGCTTTCCCACAGACCATACTGGGTAGTGCCCTGCCACCAGCAAGTAGTCATCCTGGGAACTGGCCATTTGTTTGCGGAGCCAAGACAATTGGCTACGGGCCATGCCTACATTCTGAGGACGTAAGGGTTGCTCGCTTTGGAAGTCATCCGAATTACCGCAGATGGTCACTGTGTCTATCATGAGGATTGCAACAGTAGTATTGCTGCCAGGCACCTTGAACCTCAGCTTGTAGTAATATTTAGGGAAATGCCTGCGTAAAAAAGGTTGGAGGAAGACATTTTAGAGGAAAGCAAGAGAACATGCTTCTACTTCACAAGAGCATTTCCAAGGTACTTCAAGATCTGCAAAAGACATACCTCCTAGGTTACTTTTTTCCATCCCAACTGGAATATCATAGCAAATAGCTAAACAAACTGGCAATTTTGGATCCTTGAATCAAAACTTTATTTACAAATGTAGTTTGGGGAAGCAAGAATGCTTCTTGCCCATGTGACTGAACCATTGTAGCCAGCCAATGGAGAGGTGCAGAAGTTCAATACAGGCCAACTTTCAGCCATAAAAGTAACATGGAATTCCCTAAAAACTTATTGTTTGGTTCTCAGTGTAAGGAGAAACAAGTGGTAGGAGAGCCTCCCAGGAAGTCAGCCTGGTACTAATAACAGTACAGATATTGGCCAGACTCCACTCTAAGTTCATTCAAAAGCCAGAAAGGATTTATGACTAATAATCTTTGCAGGAGCCAATTTTTTTTTTTTATCTAAGCATGTACATATAAAGACAGGATATAAAATCACATGAAGAATAAAATAAATGATGTCCCATTAGTTTATGCCCAGAATGTCCTTTGGCAAAGAGGAACACTTTCACAGCCAGAGCATTGGAAGCCCATTAAAAATTGTGCACTGGATGTATGATGCAAAAATTGTGACGGATTTATGTCAAATGCATGTACCTAAGAATAGAGTTTGAATTATTACATTAATCTGTGTGCTGCAATCTTGGTTTGCTGCACATATGTATGAGGCAAAGAATTAGAAGTGTTATGACTGTTGTGGGTAGGGCAGAACATAACTGTTCAATTTGCATAGTTGTGTTTTTGTGTTTCTGTTTAAGAAGGAGGAAATATGGAGGCAAAGAAAAGTGTAACTGGCTGAATGCGTTTGTGGGTAGGGCAGGACAGAAGTGCTTAATTAGCATAGTTATGTGTGGGGAAGGAGGGTGTTCCTGTTTAAAAAGGAAATACGAACTCAAAGAAAGTATACAAGTCTCTGTGTAACATATGTTCTCATACCACAAATATAATAAAGGATTTTATGCTACATTATTGTAAAAGAGAATTTAAAAGAATTATTCATTCTCTTTTTGAGAGATCGCATAATTTGGTGGCCATTGATATTTATTATTTGGAGGGAATCCCTTTTTTTCTAATAGTAAGTGCAGTTCAACATTCAAACCAATGGCCAAGAGAAGTGGTCCCCTGCCAACAGTGATTGTGCCCAAGTGGAGGTTAGACAACCATCTGCCTGAGATGCTGTAATAGGCTGCCTGCACTGTGCAGAATTAGCCCCAGTGGCCTCTTCCGGTTCTAGGATTCCGTGGTTCTAGTGTGAATATTCTAGCAGAGGATATTCACTGCATGGCAATAGCACATTGTTTCTCTCCCCACCAACACCTGCACACCCAGCAACTGCATTTCCTTCTATCCTTTGTCAGACCCCAGACTCACCAACGCTTGGAGATTTTGCTGTAGGCAATCTGGGCGGAGACATTCCCAGAATGATCATGGTTTCCAGCTACAACATACCAGGGCAATTTACGCAGTGAAGGTGCTTGGAAAACGGATTCAAAAGTTTCCTACAAAGGAACAAGAAACATTTATCTGTGGGGAAGAGGAAGAAATATTTTCTGCACATTATCAACTGCTGGTAAAAATGTCAAGATTTTTCCAGGTACCAGAAAAATTAGCAATTGTTTCTTTTACAATAATTGGCTTCCGACAAGCAAAGTCAACAGGGGATTTGCTTAACAACTGCACCAATTCACTTAACAACTGTATTGCTTAGCGATGAAAATTTTGGGCTTAATTGTGGTTGTAAATAGAGGATTACCTGTAGCAGGTTGGGGTCATTGATTTAAGAAGACATTCCTTGACCTGGGTACTTACTATTATCTTTGTAACTTTAGAGACTGACAGTTCCACTCCATCACACCCCTAGGAAAAATTAGGGAGCCTCTAGGTGGATTCTTCAGGGATTAAATTTTTTCTTCTGAGGTTGAATGAAGGGGAAGCATGTTGCCTTTTTAAGCAGGGCATCATTGCCTACAAAACCCTGCAAGGGGTCTGCCCAGTTCTGATGGAAGAAAGGACTTGTCAGAGGCCCAAAATGGGATTCTTCCCAAACAGGAATCTGCTTCAGTTATTGATTGCATGCCTCCCATCCTCTTTGGGATGTTCAGTTGCAATCTGATGCCATATCAGAGATAATTCTACCCTTCCACGCGAAAGGGAGTCCTGCTCAACCAAGTGATTAGAAGCTGCCTAATCCATGGAGAAGCTGCTTCCCCTTCTCTTGGAGGCTAGAAGGCGAACTCTCCCTCCCCCCAAAACAGCCAGACTGTTCCTATATAAGGGGCCCTGTTTCCTAAGACAAACTTTTTCCCAAATAAGGTTTTGTCCTCTGAGGGTAGAAGCTGCACATTTGTAAATAGTTGAAGAAGAAAATCCCAGGAAGGTTACTTGGTCACCCTTCTTCCTATGGGGGAGGAGTACGTTTATCCAATGTGCATACTGTACATCTTTAGCAGTACAGGCACAACTTGTTTTATTGCACTTCAATTTGTTGTGCTATGCGAATAATGTGGTTTTTTTTATAAGACCCTCCACCAGCAAAAAGATTATGACTTGCTGAAGGCCCAGATGATGATTAGCATTTTAGCAATAAAGTATTTTTTTTTAATTAAGGTATGTACATTGGGTTTCTTTAGACATAATGCTATTGCACACTTAATAGATTACAGTATAGTATAAACATAACTTTTATATGCACTGGGAAACTAAAAATGTGTGTGACTCACTTTATTGAGATATTTACTTTATTGTGAACCAAAATAGCAATATCTCTGAAGTATTCCTGTATAGTTTTTTTCTACTGTTATCATTCTCAAGGCAATTTTTCCCCTAGATACAAATTTCTACAGAGGTAATTCACGTAATTTGGTTACTTGTGGCTACAGGACAGAAGCATCAACAATTCTTTTTTCTATACCAGAGCAAGGTACATTGCAGTGAGTTTTCCTCATTGTTCAAGCCCATCCCTTGTTCTTTTGAGTCTATTCTTCCCACATTTGCAATGTTTCTGTTCTCTGAATATAGGAAACAAACACATAATCCCAAGGTTCTGAAATCTTTCATTTTTTATCATTTTCATTTCTTTATCTCCTCTATCTCCTCTACATAAATGGTTTGCTTTTTCTATCGATCTGGCAAGATGTAATCTATTTAAATGTGCATCTCCCAAATTTTAGGATTTTGAGTATATAGGTTCCTTCAATTGAATAAGTAAATATTTTCCCCCTTGTCTGTTTCTTCCCCTTCTCACTAATCCTCCCATACAACCTTTTGTAACATCTTGCTTGATGAAGACATCTGGAGTGTTGAATACTTGCTTCTTCCTTTGGAGCAGGACAACCCACTGACTAATGTCATTTAAATTGATTTGGGAGAAGACTGCTTCCCTGTCATTCATATGCTTCAGTTGATTAACCTTTAGCCAAACATTACACAAAAGAAATATCTGTAAGAGTTAGGTAGTATGTATAATTCTGAACTTCAAGGTGAACCTAGGAGCAGGACCTCCCACCTCATTCTGCTTCCCAATTCCCTGTCTCTGCTGAAGGGAAGACATCATGATGCCACACTAACATTTCAGTCACCTTTTGTGCTGCTACTCCCCACTAAATAGATAACTTCATTTTAATCTACCATAGAATTAAAGGCCAGCATGAACATGGGCGGGAACACTGTCTGCATGCCAATTATGGTGGTTAATTAAAACCAAAATGAACACTGGTTGACTGATGAGGAGAACTCAGCAGTAATGGCAAGAACATTTGTAGGGTGGTATGATAGTGCTTCAGTGAGCAAAAATGGTGCCTGGGTAGACATCCTAATTGTGAGACAATAGTTTATGGAATAAGTTAGCAAAGACTTCCTTGAACATTTTGCTTCATATTCTAATTTCTGTGTTCACTCCTTATCTTGTCCCAATTTAGTGCTGACAGCTAGTTGACCAGATTCTTGTGTATGGGTGTGAGTGATAAATCTTTCTGAGCTACAACTCAACCTATGGTCCTGATCCTTTTGCAACTGACATATACTCCACATAAGAGGTGGACCTTGCAGAATGCCAACTAGATGCATATTAGGATTGCACATGAACATTATTCAGAGAGCCCTGATGGTGTTTTCATGCTCCTCACCTGGAAACGCTTGTCATACATATCAGTCACCCCATTGTAATAAAAGTTGTCTCCAAGAGATAAGATGAAATCAGCTCCCAGTGAAGCAACAGTTCGCCCCATCTCTTTGGCCACAGCTGCTTCACGAGCAGTGTAGAAAGGTGCATTGGGGAGTCCACCCCAATCTCCAACTGCAATGAAGCGTAGGGAGGAACCACCATGAAGGCTTGGAAGGACAGCCAGGAAAACACCCATGAGGTACAAGAAATTCATCCTCTAAAAACGAGAGAAAAGATGAAATCATATTATTTATTTTTATGCTCACAGACACACACATACAAAGGGTAGAAGAAAGAATCCCAGAACTTATCTGGAAAGCCCAGCCGAGTTCTGGTTCCTACCTCTAGCTTTATTATTTGTTAGAATTATGCCTTCCCTTTTCTCTAGTCTAGGAGCTCAAGAGAGGAAATCTGAAGCTAATCCTGCCCTCTCTACAGGTCTCCAACTTTGTGTTCCAGCACTGTGCTATTCACTCCTCAGCACTTGCCACATTGTGGACATTTCTTTACCTAAAAGTGTATCTTTTAGAATAGTAATGATGCTAGGAATGCCTTATGCATCTAATCACTCACTGTTTTTTTTCTACCAGTCATGATAAGCTTTCATAGGCAATCACAATGGGAATTAGTCCCACTGAAGTAGTGGCTTTACTGCTGAAGAGATGGAGAATACTACAAGATCAATGGATCTATCAGACAAGTAAGCTGTTTTAGGTAAATCAAAAACATCATCTCAGTGCATCTTGCTCAGTTTGTATGTTTTTCAGTGACTCTGACTTATTCAAAAGTATTACCTTGATTGCAAAGCCAACAGTTGTGACTGAGGTCATTATCTATTGACCTATCTGGTAATGATCATCTTTTAGTTCATTTTATGTGCTTTTTAAAAACATGTTTAGGATTCTACTTTTGTTCTTTTTTTGGTAGAATTTAAAATTATTGTAAGTCATATAGTCATGCATTTAATGGGTGGCTATATACATCCAATAAATAAATAAATAAATAAATAAATAAATAAATAAATAAATAAATAAATAAATAAATACATACATACATACATACATACATACATACATACATACATACATACAAACAAACAATATGAACAATTGCAACTTGAATGTCAGGTAAAAATAGTAAAATCATGAATTAAATAGAAAAAGGTATAGTGAATTGAGGTATAAATTACATAAAATTCCATTTCCCTGCCATGAGACATGTAGACATGCAAAACTCCCCCCAAATATTGGAAAGGTGCCTCACTCAGGCAATCTTGGGGTTTAAACTCAAAATCAAATTTCTAAAATACAATATATTTTACTAGATATAATTCCAGAACATATAAATAGCAAACATCATAATTTATTAAGATAATTTTATTAATATTATTGATATTAATAAATGTGAGGACAAACTTCACATACTAAAAATGCTAACCTTTTTTCTCTTTTAATACTTATAGTAATATAGAAGAGATACTAGCATTAATTCCAAAAATGCTTATTTTTTCTTTTATCTTATATCTTCTATAGCTTATATTTTCTATATCATATTTTCTATATCTTATATTTCATATATTGTATTTTTCTTGGCATGCTTCATCTTTTATTAATTGAGTATTAATTGTATAACTTTTCTATTTTGTATTTATTGCTTTTTTTTATTGAAAAGTTTTAAAATATTTTTACAAACAAATTTTCCCCCCCTTCCTCCCCCCACCCATTCCCTTCCCCCCCCCACCCCGACTTCCCAGAGCAAAATACAGGGTGTATTTATTGTTGATATTGTTTTGAAAATACCTTGTTTTTAAATTAAAAATTAATTAATTAAAAAATACCTAAAGCACTACATTAGTACAACTGTCAATTTTGCTTTCTTGCTTTAAAACTTTTAAGAAATCAGTTTTATCCAGAATGTTTCATTAATGTGTTTTTAAACACAGCTCTCAATGCGCATATTCAAAGGATTGCTAGTAGTTTATGCCATTGGAAAAGATTTCCTGGGAAAGAGGAGAAGAGGAACTGCCTGGAGAGGCAGCCTCCAGCACTGGTCTTTTGAGCAACTCATTTGCATTTCAATGGGACTTGTGCAAGACAAGATCATTCTAAATGACCTATCTTCCTAGTTATCAGCCTATTCTCTTCCAAATTCTTCTGTGGCTTTCTATTCTTTGACCTTCAAGATCCTTGTCCAAATATGTAACATAAAAAAAAAAAAAGATTTTCCCACTTGGAAAAAAATGGATTATTATCTTCCAGATTGTTTTGCATGCAGTATTTCTCATTATTAATCGTTGTAAATCTGCCTGTGGCTGAACACTTTAAATATGCTATAGCACAATCCTAATGCACAAAACTGAATGTCAGAAATATTATATTGTTGCAATAATAACAAATCAGCCAAATAATAAAACCAAAGAAATAGGCCCCAAGACTTCTCAGAGCAGGGCTTGACCTTCCTCTCATTGCTCACATTAGCAAGGAGTTAAAGAATAGGTGCTATAATCAAACTAATTGTCTTATTCCAGGGGCTATAGCAATCCATATGAGAAGCTGCATTGCTACTGTAGTCAAGATCATCTTGAATAAATAAGATTACTGCTGCTCCCTTTTAAATTTAAATGTGGTTATCCTTAGCAATCTTTCATTTTAAGATGATGACCCTTCCGAGAAAATAGTACTGGTTCAAACGACACGATCTCTACATCTCATCTGCACGCAGAGGGCAACTGCAAATGGGAACCCCATTCGTTTCCATTGCCCCGTATTAATTCCCTGGAAAGCGTTTGGAAGGCCTTGAATGAGAGGGAAGATGGACAGACCCAGCAAAGTAATTGCCCCTTTGGTTTGACAGATAGTATATGTTGTAGCCTGTTGCAGTTTGTTTTTCAGAAGTCAGTCTGGTGTAAAATTAAATTTGGTTTTGCGCTTCCCCCGTATGGTCTCCCTGCCTCTGTTATTTAGCCACGCTGGCATCCCATTATTCATGGGTCTTTTCCAGCTAGGAGCCACCCGGTGGATCCTGGCAAGAGAGGTAAGAAAGCCAACAAAAGAGTTGGGGAGAGAGAGAGAGAGAGGAAAGTAACTTCAAGCGGCATGTGGAGTGTGTCGCTGCCCGCAAAGCCGCCCTCCTTACGTCTGTCAGTTTTTTCGGCCAACGCGCCAGTCCAGTCCAGGGGTTCTCTCAGCGCCGCTCGCTCCGGGATCTATCGCCCATGCCAGGACAACTGAAGCGACTCACTAGGCAGCGGAGCATTTTATCAGGGGCTGGAAACGGGAAACAGGGGTGGGGTGGGCAGTTCCCTCCGGCACCCCCCCCCCAGGGGAGTAGCGGCAAGGCAGAAAAGCTGAGTGTAGCAGAGGAAGAAACCACACGCCCCCCCCCCCAGCCATGTGATGCTCCCTCCTCCACGCAGGCTGAGCTTAAAGTCATTCTTTAACCTGAGCGGGGCTGATAAGAGCGGCAGCCGCCCGAAGGCGTTTAACCCTTCTCAGGTGCCCAGGCGTTGGATCCGAGGAGGCCACGCTCTGCAGTTTAAGGAGCCTCTGAGGACACCTTGGAAGGAGAAAGAGTGGCCGTCCGTCCGTCCTGCAGGAATGATCCCCGCGGGACGGCTGGACGGAAGAGGGGGCTTTTCTGAGTCAAGTTGAAGCTAAAAAGAAGCCGGGGAGTCGTCCCGCTCGAGCCTCGAGGCTGACCCCCAGCTTGAGGCCTTCGGGAGATCCTGTGCAGATAGGGGCGATCTTGGGATGTTAAAACATAAACTGGAAAGGCTTTTGTGTGACTTAGGCAAATAAAAGGTCAAATGCTGCTGACACTCCCGGCAAAGATAACAAGGAAGATGGCTGGATCTGCTCAAGCAAGGTAATTGGGGAGCTGACCTTGAATGCTATCCTTCAATCCTACTTGATCCTCCTGAACCAGACAAGCACAACAAAGCTGACTTTTAATATCTAAAGAAAATGTGATAGGTAGCCATTAATTACAATATCTAAACAGAACCTGCACGTACAATGGAAGAAATCTTCAGGACCAAGTTGGGAATAAACACCAGAATACTGACATCTCTTTCAAGCCCCCAGAGTCAACTACTGATAAATTATCACAACATACCCAGAATAAAAAAGGAAAACATAAAATGGTGCTCTTTTGGAATGCATTGAAGATTACTTAATGTTTTCCATCAAAACACAATTATAAAATAGAAAGATAAAAGTGCAGAACATTTCAGAGAAGAGTTGCCACTACATCATATGCTCAGTCACCTTCCTGTAGACAAAAATCAAAACTGGCTAGCAAGATCCCAGGGCAGGGAGGGAGTTTCCCTTACTGAACTTGGGTAAGGCAAACCCTCCCCATAAAAGACAGCTATGGGACCTTGTCTGCCCATGGGTTTCAACAGGGAGAGGGAGGCCTGGCCCTAGGATATTAAAAGGGGGCCATGGGTTAAAAACATGTAACAGGTCCCCAGCAAGCGCCAAGATGGCCACAGAAAAGCAAGAGTACAACAGCAAATGCAGCAAGTGCTGTCTTGTTGATGCCAGAGAACGTTCCAGTTACTGCCCCATGTCTGGATCCGGATACCATGCCATGGTCCTGGACATGGGGGTCTTTGGAGAAAAACAAGGTCGGAAGGAGGCCATGGGTAAAACAAAAAGGTGGAGAAACACTGGGCTGATAGATAAGAGAGCCTGGAAGTGGGAACCTTGATTTGGATTTCATGCTGTTGCAACCCTTTTTGCAATTAGTGAAACACAGGATTATTTTTTGATGAGCAGTGGGGGGAATTGCACTGATGGGTCTCACTTTCTTATATTTCTCATGAAATGAAAAGAATGTGTCAGACAAAAATTCACTAATTTTTAAGGGATTTGTTAGTTTAGGTAATGAAATGCACAGAAAAGTGATATGCAGGAAGTGGCCTGCTCATCTTCCACTATTTGGCATTAGGTGCAAAGTTCTTTCATTTCCTTTTTAAGCTGCTCATTCTAGCTCAGTATTCTTCTGCTGAACAGATATGGATAGTCCTCTTGAGACCAAGTCAGAGTAAAAGCAACCAAACATCATGTCTTAGTTGAGATGTCATATTTAGGAAGAATCTGAGGTGCAAGGGCATTCAGTGGCCCTTGGAGAAAAAATATTTTAAGATTATCATTTGGTATAGACCAAGTCTACAGAGAGACAGTCTTAATTTTGAGAGCCAGTTTGGTGCAGTGGTTTAAAGCATCAGGCTAGAAATTGGGAAATTATGAGCTCTAGTCCCACCATAGGCATGAATGACTCTGGGCTAGTCCCTATATTGCATTCCTAGGAAAGAGGCAGAGGCAACCACTTCCTGAAAAACCACTTCCTTGATAATAATAAACACACACACACACACAAGCATTTTGTTAATCAGAATTAAATGGCACCACTTTAGATAATCCAGGATTGGTTTCATCGGTAGAATGAAAAAATATGAAAAAGGCAAAGAAAGGCGATGAACAATTATAGAATGATCAAAAAATTTATGTCCAGTGGTGTCATAGAAAATTGTGAAGCTCAGTGAATATATGGCACATAGCAATGTTAAACTGATCTGCACAACAGTAGTCTTATGCATGGCCACCTTAGAACAAGCTCATTTGGCCTAGAGCAATTTTACTTCTGAAGCAAAAAAAGATGAATACATTTAGCTCTTATCTGATTGCTTTCCCCCCTCTGTAATAGTGAAATGAAGAAGTTCACCTCACTGATGGGGTACCTCAAGGAATGCATGACAGTTATCCTGATACCACTGATGTCCCTGTCCCCCCCCCCCCCGAAATAATCTTGGGGCTTTGCTGTCCTTTATTCCTCTCTATACATGTAGATATATGATCAGCAGGAGGTAGATAAGGGAGACCAGCAAGGTCCTGGTTTCCCTTTTCCCAGCTTTCTCCTTGCTTCAGTTCTAGGCTTCCACAGCACCTCTCCCTGACCTAGCCAGACTCTTAGTCAGCAAGCATCCATTGCTCCTGCCCTTCCTCCTCTCCAACATAAATATATGTTTCTTGTGTTCCATGTGAAGTTTTACTGTTACTTTTTATTGGTTTCTCTCTTCCAATGTGTATATCTGAAGGCTGCCCAAACCTACTGTACATCCAGCAACATACCTTGGATCTCTTGGGCTTCCAAGATCATCTTCCTTATCCATGCCTCTTCTACTTCTCTGATGAAAAGTTCTAGAAACTCTGATACTTACAAGATTTTTGTAAAAAAAATATGTGTTGGTTGATTGGGCCTAATAACAAGGCATTGCTTCTGTTGGTGGGGTGGGGGTCTTTTTAGCAGTGGCTGTTTCTTCCTGTCCGGTTATGCCCTTTTGTCTTTAGGGCATAATATCCCTCACAAAGCCCTGCTTAGGGGAAAGTGGGGGCGTGGGGGGGGGGGCTACCACTTTAAGAGAAGTCTGTTCTTACCCTTTGAGGAAGTGAGGTCTAGAAATAAAATACTGTTTATGGGGAAAGCCACTACACAGGCACAGAGTAAACCTGCTTTCAGCTTCTATGCAATCGGTTGGTGGGTCTTACATGAGGCATTTTTAATTTTTGCCAAAACAATCAAATGAAAAGTCAGAAGTCTCTTAACTTCTAACAATACTTCAAATAAATAAATTCAACATATATTCTTCAGATATATAAAATATGCTGTGTCTGCTGCAGAAGGGGAGAAAATGGGTTGCAGGGGGAAAGTTGATGTTTGTTAAATTGACACAAACTGCCTCAGCATTTAGCATCAGCGCATGGCCGCCCATCTTGTTGAGGGAATAGGTGCCCAAGAATGACTTCCCTCCTGTGTGTGCTGACATGGCATATCACATAGCATCTCCAGCCCCTATCAAGAAACATATAGTGAGAATGAGTTTTATCTGTGGTCCAATTGTTCAGTCCATTTTCCTTAAGCTTTCTGCAAACTTTTCCTCCTTTGGGATACTGGTGAGTAAAAGCATCAGATGATAAGTGCCTTATCACTGCCTTTGACACAGCATGTTCTGTAGCACATCAGTATAATCACGATACCCAACATCAGATCCTAAGAACAGGAATAGCATCATGCCAGCATACTAGAGGGACATCATGCTTGGGCATCTATTCCCTCAACAAACCATAGTTTGATATTTTTCCTGATAAGCTTCTGGAAGAAGGGATGACATTCTCTTCTACAGGTACTGTAGTCCTCAATTTACAGCCATTCATTTAGCAAGCAGCCAGAGTTACAACAATTTGTCCTTGCACTTATAACTGTCACAGCATCCCCACCATCACATAATCAAAATTCAGGCACTTGGCAACTGGCATGTATTTATGAAAGTTGCAGGGCTGGGTGGGCGAGGCCAGGGTGGGTGCGGCCAGCATGACATCACTTGTGTCGGGGGGGGGGCTGTGGTGTCCCGAGTGCTCTGCCAGCCAAAACAGGCTCCCAGGCTCTGTTCAACATCTGGTTTGAAAGAGGCATAAAGATAAATTTAACAATAGATTCTAATGCTGTTTTAATTTTGTTATTATGATTTTTCTAAATAAAATCTCATCAGCTGCTAAATCTTATTGTATTTATCTGAAGAAACATTCAGACTATCTAAATAAAGGCTAAGCTATATTTGGAAATGAAAAATTCCATGAACTGGTCTATTGGATAAAAATAAAATAAAAAAGTAGGGTGAGAATAGAGGAAGCAACAAATTCTCACAGAAGACAAGTCATCTTGTCCTGACAGTATTATTATATAGAGATTTAATGTAAGAGGAGAGGAAGGTGGTCAACCAGTTCTTATTATTATTAGGAATTCTATGAGGGTGATAAATATTAATGGCTAAATATAACTCTTTGTTGGTGAATACTGTGTAGCTCTAATCCAGCCATATCTAAAGGTCTGGCCTTAAAGCCTCAGATTGCAATTGGATCCAATTCTTTTTTTTATCCAACCTCATACAGAATTAGCACTGTAGGGGATTATGGATTGTCATCCAGGCAACACAAGTTTCTAACTTTTACAGAGATAAGATACAACTATTTATTTATCACTATATTTGGTTGGATATTTCAGTGCAATCCAATTGTTTTCAAGTATTCCATCTTTATGGAATATTGTTTATATCAGTGTTTAAACTGGAGGCATTCCAGGGCTCATTCATAGGCTTTGATTGCCTAGATATGAACATACCCGGTATGCACTATGATCATATATTACAAGGAAATTTAATGGTAGTGGGCAAAGCATCTTTCAACAAACCTTGTATTCCATTATTTATCTTCTCACTCAGAATCTCTTATTAAGCTCCTCAAACTTCAACATTTTTGATTAA